GATGGATGGAAAGAGCACTTGGACATTTAAGTTTTGTCTATGGTAGTTTAGTAACTCATTGTTCTCTAGAAAATAAACAATATTCACAATATTCTAATCCACTGCCCCGTTCTGAAGAAAGATTACCAAGTCTGTTAGACTGACTGACCGAGGCTTTTGAATTGCTCTGATTTTCCATCTTCTGCTGCTGAAAGTAATCAGCCTGAACAGCTGACAACACACACAGCAACCTATATGCCCACGATAAGAACAAGTTTCCTATTGAGTAACTGGAAGGACATCTCACTAGATCCTGTAATGTTTCATCTAACAGATGATAAGAAATCACCCAGCTCTGCAAGGGGACAGAAATGAATAAATCTGCTAGTTGTTTTTAATTACTTTTAGAATAGACATTATATAGCTAAAATACTGTTGAATTCATTAATTCATTACTACATAAATTTAATTTCTGCACTGAGTAAAGTGAACTCGTGTCCCTGCAAGACGAAGATGCACACATAATAATTAATTGTATGAATCTTCTGTTTATACATTGTAACATTCTAAGAAATATGGTCCATGGAGACAGGACTGGTTTGGTGTCCTTCAGTGAACTTGCTAACTACTGGACTCATAACTTACATTTATCAACACACTTTACTCTTGGTGGGCATATTTTGCAAGGCAACTTCATATTGATATTCAAATTTCTGCAGATTTTAATCTCTAGGCAGATGTTAATGTGGCATATGAGGTAATTATATCTGGAATATAATTTATATGTAAAATGAAGAGATAATGAATGGACAAGGATACACTCTCACATAAAAAGTACTGCTTCTCAGAGTGAAAAAGGAAATTTCCTATATAAAAATCTTCTGTATAAAATGGAAACCAGAAATTATTTCTAGGATGGCCAGTAGACACATACCCATCCAGCAAAGACTAAAGAAGAGATGACTGTCATCCATGCTACTTGTGATTAATCTCTTCCACATCCACAAACAGCACTTATTTTCTCAAAGAAAGAAGTGTTTAGGTATCATGTAGCAACAGGGGAGGGGGAAAAGTATCACTAACAGCAGCATATCAGTACAGTCCATAAGAAAAATGAACCTGGTCTCAGTTGGGATCAAAACTTGATCCTCACAAAAGGCCTATTAATCCTATTCTTTAAAATTCATCCTGTGGGCTACGGCACTCACCTTACCTCGTTCAGATTTTCCTTACTGCTGTCTTTCAGATATGTAGAATTTCCTATGCAGAGTATTCTGTCACATTAATGCAATAGTAAAATACAACCTATGCACTCCCTGTTTTACAAGAAACTGATACGGGCAAGCTCCTTTAGAAAATCATAGTGTTCCAAAAATTGAATCTGATCCTGCTTTTGCTGAAATCCCACCATAGAATCACAGAAACACTCAGACTGAAAAGACCTTCATTGAGTCTGACTGTTAACCCAGCACCAACAGCTCCCTCACTAAGCCACATCCCACAAATATGTGCAACTGGTATGTTGGTGATCAGTTTTGGTTATTATAACTCTCAGAATAAGGTTAGCTTTAAACTTTTATCACTGATTTTTAGTTAAGTCTTCACAGCAGTAAGTACATTGTATTTGAGCCCATTTCCATGTTCTTTTGAGGTCTGTATTTTTCTGTGGGAAAGATCTCATCCTAACAGACGACAAATTATGATTTTCACCAATTTATTAATTACATTTGCATTAAATATGGACTGTAAGAACAAATAAATGTTTTTAGCATCATTCAGTGCTTTTAACCAGTCACTTTTCATTAGGGCAGTGATTGAAATTCACTTCATAATGTTCTAGGTAACAATTGTCCACAAAGATGAAATAATTCAAGTAAAATTTGCCTTCATAATTGAATAACAGGTTCATTGTAGCCTAAAACATATTTATTAACTGGAATTGAAGACATTATTTTGTTTGGAAAGGAAAGATAGTAGGATTTGACACACTGAAATTGTCATTATGAAGGCAATTCCAAATGCACATGGTAATATTAGTAATATGCTGCCGACACTTTATTTTTATGCTAATAGAGAACCCTGTTTATCCAAGCTGTTTTAAAAATAGTCTATGCCTTTTGTGTTTCACTACACACTCCTATGCTATTATTGTATTTCCTAGTCCATTTAAATCAAATGAATATCAAGAAGAGTGTAATTGTTAAGGGCACCTGGTATACCTGATGCCACTAAGGTTCATTTTAAATTATGTCATGGCTGTTTTAATTACTTTATTCTTTTAATGAAAAACAAACACTTTGGTTTATTTAAATGAACACAAGTGTTTAATGGGAACACATTTCAGTATTCTGTGCTCTTCCTCTCTGGTCCAGGTAAGGAAGACTTAATATATTATTTCTCATTATGCTTGAGGGTCTGTTCAAACAAGTAGTTGACAGATTAATATATACAATTAGCCAACACTTTATGAATAGATTACAAATTATTTTATTGATACATATAACAAGGTAATATAGATGATGTGTCAGTGACTATAATACAGTTCTCATCAGTCAAGAGACACCACTGGAAATGCAGTACATGGGTATTCATTCACAGGTTTTTTTCTGTAAGAAAACTGTAGTTCATCTTTTGAATGACACCGTTCACCTGGGGTTGAGAACACAAGGCTGTCCTTGCTTACTGAGCAGGCAGGCTCCACAGCAGCACTCCCTGACCAGCTCCTGGGACATTTGTCATATGTTTTCTTACCCATTGCTTATTACATTATCTAACTAGTAGGATTACAAATATTAAAAGCCTTCCAGACATACATTCTTCAACCAGAAGTTGTGGGTTGACAGAGTGTGCGCATCATAGTTTTTATTGATTTTTTTTCCCTTCATCTTACTTGACAAAAAATAATAGATGAAAGAAAAAAAAAGTAATTCTACTTGTTGCAGTAATATCCATGAATTCTACGGTCCCATTGTGCTGTGATGAAACCTAACATTGTCTCATGGTTTCTTCCCATCTTTCTTGTTTAAGTAATCTACAATACAGTGGTCAAGATTATTAATAATGAAAACTGTACTTTCATTTTTTTTTCTGCACTCTTCAGAATGAAGACTTAGGAATTAGGGAATTCCTAAGGGGGGAGGGGGCATTTGATGCGTTTTAAACTCAGGTATTTGTTGAGAGTAGCAGAAGACACCTATTTATGTGTCTTGTATTGTTTGCAGCAATTTTAATTGAAGAAACCTGAAAATCAAGAGGTGATCACTAGTCACACAGACTTTCCAGACAATTTTCTCTAAACAATGTATTGTAAAACTTTATTCCTTGTGAGACCTCAAGAATATCTTAGGACCTGGAGAAGGTATTGACTGCATTTAACTGCTCCCTTTGGGCAAAATGTCCTTCTCTTGTAACTAAAATGCAGTGGGTTCAATCTAAGGAGAAGAGGTCAGGCTAAGCTAGGAGTGAGAAAAGGGAAAGACTGACTTCTGTTATACCTGGCTGGTTCTTTACAGTAACTATCATTATTTCATAGGCTTCAAGTTTTGTGAGGGACTTTAGGTCAAGTCTCTTACTAGTATTCTCTATAAATTCTCTACTCTACTCTTTCAGCAGTCTCTCTAAATTCTTCCCAAAGCTGTTGGGGTTTAAGTACATTCTGTGCTAGTACTGGTCCAATATTAATTTACTTTGATTCATCCACTGTAATTTAAGCATCTTATCCCCTAAGCCTTCAGGGTTAGGAGGCATGTGGAAATTCCTCAACAAGAAGTATGAGACAAAAGAAATCAAGATTCTTCATATTCTAGATTAATAAAGGATATATTTCTTAAAGACATACAGCAAAAAAAACCAAAACCAAGAAGTAAGTTGGTACTTTGTAGAATTGAAGTCTGCAAAATTATTTATTATTTGGTTTTCCACACTTGAAAATGATAGTTTGATTGAAATTGAGCATGTAACGGACAAAAAGCAAGGTAGGACACAGTTTCCTACTTTTGTATTTAAATATGCAGTGTGAACTTGCAGCCCTTGACTGCTGGAACTGAGTAGGGAAACTATCTGTCACCCTGCTTCAGCTCAGAAATTCTTCATATTTCTAAGTGTGTTCTTAGTCCCCAGTTTGAAAATGGGCTCAACTCAAACACTAATTTTTTGCAAACTGCTTCCTAATTTTCTGTATTTTAATCTACCCCAAATATAAATATTCTATCCCACGTTTTGCTGTTACAATCCTCAGACACTGACTTTGGTCTCTATGCAGTCACTCTAATGAGTGACTTGGGTTGGAGAATTAGAAGTCAAAAGTTTGGGGCAGTTTCTTGGGACTCTGCACATAGCTTCAGTTTCCACTGTTCCAGAATAACGAATTCCTGTTGAGGCCACTTGCAGAGAAAGGCTGCTAGACTTATCATATGAATTCCATTTTTTAATCTAATGAGAAAAAAAGGTCAAAAGGTCTAAGTTTTCTTCCCCAAAATACCTAGAACCAAGGAAACAGAAGGCATGTTTATGCTCCAGGTATTTTTTTCTCAGAACAGCTCTTATATTCCAATATCATTACATCATGATATCATGTATTGCATTGGTTTAGTAAATCCAGTGAATGATTAAAGGGATTGGTCCTCAATGGCAGCTGTATATTTAAAAGAAAATCAACAGAATCACTTGGGTTAATCCAGCACTTGAGTTAATCAAAGTCATCAAGCTGTGTTTGACAGCTGATGGACCATTTCTTAGAACTTGAAGCATTATTTTAAAAAGGCTTGATAAAATCAGAGTTCATATGGAGAAAACCTATAGGCAGGGCTCTTAAAGGACATTAATTATTTTTTCAGAGCAGCAAAAATAGAATCAGCTACCTTCAGAATTGTCCCTGCAACCTTATGTAAGCAGAAATGGAAAAATTGCTGCTGAGTACTAAATTATTACTTGCTAGCGCGGAGTCAATTTCTAACTTTAAAGTTTCACATGGTTCAGTAACTTCATTGTTTTCAGTGTGTGCTGAATTTTTCTCTCCCCAGAGATCTGCCTTTTGACCAAGGGCCGTCGAACTGCCAGCGTACGAGCAGACACGTACTGCCGCCTGTACTCGCTCTCAGTGGACAACTTCAACGAGGTGCTGGAAGAGTACCCCATGATGAGAAGGGCCTTCGAAACGGTGGCAATTGATAGACTTGACAGGATAGGTACCTATTTCATTTTTTTGCATATGATTAATTCTTAAAATCCTTCCGCATTTTCTTTCCCTTGAGCTGCATGATAAAATACCCCGCTTTAAAAGTTTTTTTCTGTTATGCTGCAGTAAATGTTTTCTTGATCTATAAATAACAGGCATGCAGACAAGAATTTTGCAATCTCACTTTTAAATAATAAAAACCACTGAGTTTTAGAAAGCTCTTGTACTCCTCTGAGGATTATTTTTCATACTTTAATTATAATTATTATTATTTATTAATCCTGTAGATTTCTTTTTGCTGCCTTCAGCACTTGATAGGATTTATGCTGTGTCACGAGCAGTAGATGACATTTTCCTAAATAAATTGCTTACAGATGACATCCATAATGCTGGGAAAAGCTGAAGCCTCTCAGTACTCACAAACCTGTTGTTTGTTGAAGTGAATTAATCCTTTGCAGCAGGGCTCTCATTTTCCTCACAACATGATGCTAGCCTTGATGGCTGCACACTGGCACTGCTCAGATTTGCCTGCAATCAGAAAAGCAGTCCAATAATATGCAAGTGAAAGATAGAAGGGTATGACAGATTATCAAAAGTAAGATGACCAAAAGGGGTGTAAACTTGCTGTTCCAGTATTTGGGATCTCCCAACAGGACATACTAGGCAAAGCATAAAGTCTTCAGTCAGGAGAATTGCATTCTGATCATCACTACTCACACTGATTTTAAAACACAGCTGGAAAAAGAAATCACTTATGCTGTTTGGTGGTGTTTCCTCAACTTCACGAGAAAATTTGTGTGTGAGGATTTCTGCACATCAACTCAATGCATTAGACGCCTACAGTTTGTCTCTCAAGACTCTGGAAATGCAGTCCAACTCTAAGTAATATGTGCTTGAAAAATATTAGCAGTAAAGTTCCAGTCTGTTCTTGCGGTAGCAATCCCATCTGAAGTGCGGTGTTTTATGGGAGGAAAAAAAAAAAAAAAAAAAAAAAAAAAGAGCAGTTGAGTGCCATTGTGTTCCCGAGCATCTGATGACTCAGACAGAATAGTGTCTACATCTTACAGACACTGAGCCATCAAGCAGACTTCAGGTCACAGTGTACAGCAGTCTTCACTATGCAAGCGTCACATTATCCATTAGTTCACATTAGTTCACAAACACTGGTTACTAATTTTTAGTAACTAGTTCCCAGAAATGTGCTTGATGGCAGGTGTACTTTTAAAACATGTAACTATTTAATGGAAATTCAGACAGTTTTGCAAGGAGAGAGAAAGACCATATAGATGCAGAGCACGACGACTTTTTCTGACAGTTGTACAGGAAATTACGGTTCTTACACGTAATTGTAGCAATAGCAGTGAACTGCAAGTGAAGACGCGGGGAAAGGCCAGTGCCGGAGCGCGGCGGTGCTGCGGAGGCCGGCGGTGCGGAGGGGGCCCCGGGCTGGCCGGTGCGGACACAGCCCCGGGGAGCTGTGGCGGGGCCAGCGGGGCACAGCCCGCTCTGCCCCGGGCTGGCGGCCGGGCCGTGCCGGCTCAGCCACCCGAGGCCTGCTGAGGCTTTGACAGCAGTCAGTCCTCAGCCATGGGTGGTCAAACACAAAGCCAGAGCGGGACTCTGCCCCTGCGCCTCGGCCTCACTAACTGTTCTGCCTCTCTCTGAAGGGAAGAAGAACTCGATCCTGCTGCAGAAGTTCCAGAAGGACCTCAACACCGGCGTTTTCAACAACCAGGAGAATGAGATCTTGAAGCAGATCGTGAAGCACGACAGGGAGATGGTGCAGACCATCGCCCCGGTGAGCCTGCAGCAGATGCCAGCCCTCAACTCCAGCACCTCGGCCTCGTCGCGCGGCAGGACGCAGTCCCCGCCCGTGTACAGCACCAGCAGCCTCTCGCACACCAACCTGCACTCGCCCTCGCCCAGCACGCAGCCGCCACAGCAGGCCGTCATCCTGTCGCCCTGCTCCTACACCACGGCCGTCTGCAGCCCGCCGGTACAGAGCCCGCTGGCCGGCCGAACTTTCCAGTACGCCTCGCCGACCGCCTCGCAGCTCTCCCTCATGCAGCAGCAGCAGCAGCAGCAGCAGCAGCAGCAGCAGCAGCAGCAGCAGCAGCAGGCGCACGCAGCGCAGCAGCCGCCGGGAGCCGCGCAGAAGAACGAGGTGCACAAGAGCACCCAGGCCCTCCACAACACCAACCTGACGCGGGAGGTGCGGCCGCTGTCCGCCTCGCAGCCCTCCCTGCCCCACGAGATCTCCACCCTGATCGCCAGGCCTCACCCCACCGTGGGGGAGTCGCTGGCCTCCCTCCCGCAGCCCGCCCCGGGCCCCGGCGTGCCCCCGGCCGGGCGGGCCAGCGTGCCGCAGCGGGTCTCGCTGTTCCGGCAGATGTCCTCGGGAGCCATCCCCCCGAACCGCGCGGCCGCGCCGCCCGCCGCCCCGCTGCAAAGGGATTCTTCCACAGTCTTAAGCACAGAGCCCGAGGGAGACAAACCGCGGTTCGCCTCAAACTTATGATCCCTGGTGACTGTGAGCAACAGACTTGCAACAAACCGAGCACCATCCCCCGAACTGTTTTAGCCTGTTTCCTAATGTGCCCCAGCAGTCTACTATGAGAAAAATAATTTAGACAGCTTTGCCCTATGTAACGAATGTAAAAGTTTTATATATATATATCTAAATATATATATATATAAAAGCAATGAAAAAAACTTGTTTGAGTTCATGTCTTCCTTTTTCACAACCATTACAGAAGATTACATTTAGCGCTAATACTACTTATTTTTAATGTGTTGACTTTAAAATCAGCCTAACAGATTTCTCTGTTTATGAGATTGGCTGTTTTCATGGGGAAATTGTCAACACAACAAACTTCAAACAAGTATATTAAAAAAAAAACAAAACAAAAAAACCATCAATTTAACTAACACATAGCACTGACTGAGTGATACTCTGAAACATTTGTTGCTTCATTTATTGTGTATACGTTGTTAATTTCTCATGAAGAATTCGGTTGTTATTTCACATTGCATTTCATACGTTAGCACCATCCGTTGGAATTTAGATTGGAAAAGTATTATATTGCAAACACCTGCAGTGTAAAGGGAGGCACTAGCACTCCTCCGGATAGGTTGTAACCTCATGGCATGTCAGCCCTTCTTTGTCTAAGAGAATTGGGTGGACTTTGATCTTCACACTGCTAAAGACTTTTCAAAGACTAAATATTGCCATTGTAAATAACTTTTTAGACCCAAGCAAAAATAGCTGCTATGTGGTGTACCATTGCAAGGTCTTTGTTTAGGAATTTAGGTTCCGCTTTTCACTTCAAAATTTACAGTTTTAAAATTTGTTAAAGCTAAGTACAACACAACTGTTAAATTGTAATGCAATGGCTTAAAACCTACAGTGTTACTTTTACATGCAATGTTTTATGCAAAATTGTACGCTTGATCCTGCAAACCGCTTGTACTTCACCAATACCATCACTTTTCTTCTTCTTGCCCTCAATAGCATCTGAGAATATTCCATGCATGCTTTGGAAAAAAAAAAGACAATAAAAATAGGTTTGGTCAGTAGGAAAAGGCTTTATGGTATCTTAGAAAATAATAACCATTCATTAATTGTGTCTACCTTAAAATTCCTATAATGCTGACTTTGAATCTCTGGTTTAAGTCTAGAAGTGAGGTTTTTCATTTAAAGGATTATTTGTAAACCACAGCTTGATTTAGACTTTCAGGTGCTTTCTGTGTCTTCACTGTAGTTTTGTAGTTGACTGTGGTGTTAATTTACAAAAATAAATATAATATAGCATCAAGTCTGTCTGGAAATGCACGATTTGCTCTGTGTATATTGTACTTAAATGGTTAGTATATCCTAAGGCATGTAGTGTCAAACATAGCCCATAGGTATGAGGTTTATTATTTTTTATGTCTTCAAAACAGAAGGGAAATGGTGACAGAAAGCAGGGTTAAAGCATACTGTTTTGTGAACATTTTGTTTTGTTTGCTCAAACCTTTACATTATCTTATCCACAAAAAAAAAGAAAAAAAAAATCATAATCTTTTGTGCCTGATTTGTCACATTAAATAGAGATTGAAACTAAATGTGTCATAATTTAACTCACTGAAAAATCAGCATTATGGATATGATACAAGCATATATTCTGTTCCTTAAAACCCAGCTGACTCTGTTGAGGAAGTGGATGCAAAGGAGTTCTTCTCTTCCCATCAATGCTGAGTTTAACGATGCATGGAAAAATTAAAAACATCACAAACTATGTAATGCAGTGAATCCAGATGTACTTGAGAGCCAAGTAAATACTCTAAAGCTAACAGAGCTTGAACCCATGCTGCCTGTTATACCTTTTACTAAAGTGGTACATCAAATAAAATTTTTAAAAATCTTTCTTTTTTTTGCTGACTCACATTCACCAGTAAAGATCGATGTAATTAACCCACTAACATGCTGCTGCCATTAATTTAAGTGACCTGGAGTGGAAATGGGGAAATGATTGTTTAAAAAAGTGTCTCAAACATTATGGATACGCTGCAAGACCATTTATTTATGAGTACAATACCCCTTATATTATTTTAATGCTAACAAATTCTGTCAGTTAATTAAGATCATATACTGATCTTGAAAACTGTTTAAGGTTTACATTTAATAGGAGAAATGGGGTTAGTAGCAAAATATTTTTATATATATTTTTATTTTATTTTAAGCACTATGAAGAAATATTAATTCACATGGTCTTTCAGTGAAACCATAAATAATTTTTAATGACTTTGTAATAGAGTGGACAATATCTAGGATTTGTATGTTAATTAAAAAAAATGGTACAGGGTATAAAATTATATACGTATATATATATATGTATGTATGAATGTATATATACTTAGATTAAGAAACAAATGACTCACATTCCTGTAATATAAAGGTCCATTGCTAGTTTCAGAAGTGACCTATTTTCTCTGTACATAAGTAGGCCCATAAGTATGAAATCTCACATCTGTACAAGATGAAATGTATTAATGAAAAAGGTTGGATCTTAACTGCTGCTGGGAAGACTATAGATCTGGTTCTTACAATAATTGTATGATCAGGGATGAGTTAGATTTTTTTTTGTCTTTGCTCAAAGCCATAAATAAACAAATATAAAAGATTATTAATAAATTGAAGAAAATATATAAAAAAATAAAACCATGATATTTTTTTTCCTTCCAATATCTGTGTAACTGAGCCAAGTTCTGCTTTACCATAAAAGAACTGTTTCTTTATCTCTTTTCTTTATTCTGAGCCCAGAAGTTATATGCACATAAGTATGGGGAGGTGGAGAAAAGGCTACCTGAATAATTCTGTGTATTCCTGAAATAAGAAGGCTTAGAAATTCAAGGGTACTATCTGATTTACATAGACATTTCCTAAGCTGTGTTTCCTCTGCAGATTAGAGAAATTCGTTTCCCAAAAATCTCTCAAGTAAGCTATTACCACTTATCAGAAATACATTATGAGTACAAATATTGAAAAGTTAAGCTTGTTTTTTATATGTTAAATATCCTGGGGGAGCATTACAAATACTTGCTAGTGTAACTTAAGGAAAGTGTATTCTATCATACTTTCACTTTATCTTACTGTATGTGCCAATCCCAGGTGATGTACCTCTGAACTTGTGTATAGGAGTTGAGATTTCAAGGCACCATTGATATGGAAGTAATATTCATTAATCGCATTTTAGGTCATTGTAAATTAAAAAGCACAGTCCATTCAAATCAATAGCACATTGTGTGTTTTACATCACCTTCAGTAGGATCAATAGAATCCTAAATCGATAAACTGATTTTAAGCAAGCATGAGTAGTTGTATTTTAAATTTGCACTGTAAAGTGTATTTTGAATTCCTTTCGCTAGTATTTCTTCTTTTTTTTTACTTTGCATTGCTAAGATATAGCTCTCTTCCAATGGTAGGCAATGAAGTGGTTTTCAAAAATACCAGCATTGAACCAGAAGAATTTTGTTAAGCAGCAAAATCTGTTTCTCCTGTGTACATTTGACCACTTCACAGACTACACATTGGTCTCTGGTCCAGTCTTATTATTTCATACATGTTTGTGTACAGAACCAAACAAAACAAAGGGTTGTTTTCAAGTGGTATTTCACATCACCACATGTGATATTGATGTGCATTTACACACTAACTTATATATTTTTGGAATTTCTCAATTTCTAATACCTCTATCTACCTCAGCCTACTTCCCATCTTACCTTGGACCAGAACGAAAGTAAATTCTATACTCAATAGTAAACTTTCATGCCTTGATGCATATCATTAAGAGTTAAGCTTAATATTTGTATTTTCAAAATTTGAGTTCTCACACTGACAAGTATTTCTGGACATGTGCATTCTTTTCTACTGTATAAGTGACATTGTTCAGTGGAGGAAGAAGAACTTACTTTAAAAAGAAGATGTTAAACTTCTAAATTAATCTGAAATTTAACAGCTCTAGGAATACTCAGTGATGGTAATTTCTGCTGTTCTAAAGTCCTCTGTTCACACAAAAATATTGCTACAATAAAGGAACAGAAAGTGTTTCTTTGCAAATCATAGGTCCGAGCTACAAGCATTATTTGAACACTCTATTAGAATTGGGTGTGCAAATTCTTTAGTGGTTTGGCCTTTCCTCTCCTTCCTATTTTGTTTTTAAATCAAGGAGCATTAATAAGTAATGTAAGAGCATTAATATTGCCCCTAGACTATGTCCTAAGAGAAATACATGCAGTGAATTTTGAATTTATAGATTTTTTTCCCCAACAATCAGTAGCCAGTGCTTGCATACTTAGGACTGTAAATCATTTTCTTGATCATCTTAAAATCTTCGATGTTCTGTGGGTGGTACATTGAATATGACCACTGTTCATGCTTAAACACATTTTCTTCAGAAAGCCAGATATGTGCAGTCTGTTTTTTCACTGCAGTGTAGAGTTTTTAAGTAGAGATCTGGTTTCAAAAATAGTTCCTGTGTATCGGAGGACAATAACTACAGATCTCAATTTTCATGTGGGCAGTTAGGATTTTGGTTCCTAGGCCAAGCTGTTCTTGAATTGGATTTTTTATTTCTCTGCAAAGTCAGCATTAATAATGGGTTTGCTCTGCTTATTACACCAAATGTGCAGTCTGTATACTTTAGGAGAGGCCTGTAGGGTTTTATAGCATTTAATTTTTTCTAGGAGCTGGAAGATTTACATCCAATTATATTCATTCCTCTAGTTCAGCCAAGAGGCAATGTGAGCAGTAACTTTTGCCAGATCATTGTCCACTGCAACAGGAAATCTAGGTAAAGGGAGAAGATTGGCAGCAGTGATAGATGTGATCCTACAAAAAAAACAGAAATACTGCTAAATATGAACCAGACTGATCAATTCACATCTGAACCTTCTGTGATAAAGTAGATTATATTGCAATTGCAGACTTTACTTTTTTAAAATCTGCTAGTCAATACCCATTTCATCTGTAATTTGTCT